GTCGGTGACAAGAAGAGCCCCCCCCCCCAACTGGGACTGCGGTGGTATACCTGGAACCACCCTATTTTATTAAATGGTCCATACTGCCTCTGCTTATCTCTTGCCTTGAAAATGTTATAAGGTCTCAAAGTCAACTACAACTTGGCGGCAACTAACCCCAGCCTGCCAACAGTGTGGGAGCTGCTCTCCAAGAGAACTATGTTAAACCAAGAGTGCAGGGCAGTTGCCCCTGGCACACAGGTTTGTGTCTTAGGTATTGTTCCATAACACCCTACAATAGACTCTCACAACACTGACTTTGACTCGGGCATCAGAGAGCCCTGACAGACATTGGCTAGAGCTGGAAACACCATGTCTCAAACTACCCAAGGAAAGCCAAACAAATTCCAGAGGGATGGAACAGTTCAAAGAGAGTCTCCCCCCCTCCCCCCGGACTGTCAGATTTTTGACCAGGAAGAAAAGCAAGGGACCCAAGACTGTAAAAAAACAAACACCAAGATGTTTATTCTCTGCCTGTGACAAGAGAAAACTATACAGCAGTATCAAAAATTAGTAGTCCCTGGGTGGATGAATCATTGCAACACAGGGTAAATGGGAAGTGTGGTTGTAGGTTCCTGTTTCAGCCCAGCTCCTCTCGTGTCTTCCCTACTTTCTTGGGCAGCTTCTTGGTGGATGCATCCTCGAGTTCCTTGGCCTTGTAGTAGTGAGGGGCTACTTCCAGCAGCCACGTGCTGTCAATCTCGATTACCTTCGAGGAAACAAGACCGGGGGGGGGGAATGTTATCCTGCACTCTGGCCAGTCAGATTTTTCCATCACCAGTTCCTTTCTCCTTCCCTTCACTTGAGAGTGCTCCCCCTCCCCCCACTGTACAAAAAGGGACCTCACAGGTAGCAGACATAGCAGAGGGAGGAAACAAGTGCTTTTCGAAAGAGTTAAAAGGACAGAGCCCAGAGACGTAACAAGCACGTAGCTGGCCAGTAAATGGAAACATGGAATGCTCCCTCTAACAAGTGGAGTCTTGTGAGCGAAAATTCTACTTTGTGAGCTACTGGCATTAAAGCTGTGAGCCAGCGATTTGGCTACTGCATAAATTAGTTTGCTCTGGAGCCATCCTTCCTGAGGTAAGACAAAAATGTGTGAGCCGGAGGCTAAAAAACCCGTGAGCTAGCTCACACTAACTCAGCTTAGAGGGAACACTGATGACCCTGCCTTATTCAGAGTCACACCGCTGGTCCTCTACTCAGACTGGCAGTGGCTCTTCTTCAAGCCGTGTGTGCCTTTTGACAATCTCTGACCCTGCTGCACTAAGACAATGAAATGATGGTGGTTTCTGTACATGTGAAGCTTGCCTCAGACCAGTGGTCCATCAAGCAAAATACTGTCTATACTGACTGCCAGCAGTTCTCCAAAGACTCATGCGGAAGCTCTTCCCAGCCCTGAAACGCAAGACTTGAAGGTGCCAGGAATGGAAGCCGGGACCTCCTGCATGCAAGACATGGGTGTTCCAGCAGGGTCCCTCACTGTCAATGAGAGGGAAGGCAGCACAGTGGAATCACCTGGACTACCCCATTAAGCTCCTATCCCAGCATTCCTGAACACTACTCAACGCACCTGAAACTGTTGCGTTCCCCCCATGGTAGCTTTATCATGCACTGTCTGCTATACTTGCCAACCGCCACCTTGTGAAACAAAAGGCTTTGTTGTCCTGATCAGCAATTATCTGTGCCATGACCACGAGACCTACCTGTCTCATGAACTCTTTAGTGGTGAAGACCAACTCATGGTAGATGAGCCAGCGTGGTTGCTCTTCAAACAGGGAGCTGTTGGGATGGACGAACACTGTCTGCTGGTGCTTGACCGTCTTGTAACCGCTGCGGGTGAGGCGGGACGTGTGATAAAAGAAGCCAGCGGTGATGGCCTGAGGGGAAAGAGAAAGGAAGTGGCAAAAGTACTGAGAATGAAGAGAGATCTGAAACCACTCTGGCTGCCTCCTCTCGAAATACCTGTCTCTGCCTGGCACCACCATTGGGCAAAGTATTCAAAATGCCAAGGTGGTGGTGCTGTGGGGTGAGACCTCACTAGATTTCTCATGGTCACAATGAAGCAGAGGGAGGGTTTTGGGGCTAGTGCTCTTGTTTTTATAGTACATGAATGGGAGAGTGTGGCAATAATAAACTTTTCTACAGAATGTCTCTCCACTGAACATTAGAAAAGGGGTACCAGGCCCCACAAACAAAAAAATCTATCCGGTTTTCTGCAGGCACAGAGAACGCAATAGGAGGTGCAGAAATCAGCTTCCTGAAAATCTTTTTTTAAAAGAAAGAAAACAGCAAGTTTTCTTACATCTGTGAAGCTATATAGAAAATGCCTGGCAAGAAGTCAGAGGAATAAGATTTCTAGTAGCCATCAATGAGGCTTCTGTGCCCTACGTCATTCCACAATTATGCAAGGAGTAAGAATAAATTATGCGAAATAAGAGCATGCAAATTGTTCATAATGTATGCCGCTTGCAGAATTTTCTCAGCACACCAACTGGACACAGAAGCGGGGGGGAGAGAAATACAGCCCTGGCTATGGCAAGGGACCATCAAAATAAATTAATTTGTTTTTAACTTCCATTTTCAGGCTTTTCAAAGATGTAATGAGAAATTCTCTGGCAAGGGCACAGTAACAGAAAGCAGAAAAGGAGAGGAAGCTGTAGGAAATAATGTAATGGCATACAAATTGTGGTTATGTGACCAGTAGTAAGCAGGGAACAGCTGTGGGGGGGGGGGGGGGGAGAAGGGACCCTTCCCACCTGACAGTGACTTCAACTTACTGAAGTCTTGATACTGCTGTGGATAATGGCCCTTCGTCCCACAATTTTCTCTTCAACTTCACTGTACTTGGCCTACTGTGCATGCTTAGTGTAAGAAAGTAAGGTCCATCTCTCCAGGCTACTAAGACATCAGGAACAAACTAACAGGCTACAAACTGACTCTCAGTTAATGACAATCAAGCCAATACACATGTACAGAGGCTCTGCCTGTTTTAGAGGGGAGAAATCACACCCATCCATCCCAGAGAGGGAGGGAGACCAAAGGAGATCTCGGTCACCTTCCTGTCAAACAAGAATGGTTATCCCCACTGGAGACAGGGACATAACGTTAATTCCCTGGACAGGAAAGGGAAACTCTCCTTCTCTTCCAAGGCTCTCTTGCATCACTCACATCTCTGCCATGAGATGCGAGTCTCCCTTGCGTTCCATTTTGAGCATTTACAGCCACATCATGGGAAGAAACACAAACCCCAAACTCAAGGTAAAGGAACTTCTCTGGGGGCCCGTACCTCCCAAGGATTAAGCATCTCTTCTTTTAACTACACCACTTAGGGATAAGTTTAGGCGGGGCGAGACAGATTGTGGCTTGCTATTTCATTTCCCACTTTTTGCTCAGTCCTCCTGCCTAGAAGTAATCCGGAGTGGGTCCATGGTTCTTTTCTAAATCTTGTATCGCTTGAATGTTAGAAGTCCGCTTTCTGTCCTCCCCCAAATACCCTACTCTCCACCACACTCCCAACAAGAGAAGTAAGGGAGTGGTGCAAAAGGTAAGCGGTTTGTTCCCACTAGAGCTCAGTGGGAAAAATGGGGAGGAGGCGAGGCCAGCACAAGGCTCCAGATGAACAAAGGACTGGAGTCCCAGTTCTCCGGCTCTACCAGTTAAGTGGGTGGTGGTGGTCCAAAAAAGGGTTAATGCAGGAGAAGAGCAAAGAAGGCAGTTCACCAGGCAGTGAATTGAGGCAGCATGGAAACACTCAATATACCCCCCCTGAGGAGTGAGAAGGGAGCAGAAGAGCTGGCTTGTCTTTCAAGAGCAGCACATGATCACTCCTGCGAACGTCGCCAGAGCATGAACTACTTGTTTTCCTCCCAGACTTCCTATCCATCCGATAGAGGATCCCAACCCCAAACTCCCTTGGAAAACACAGCGTCTGTGAATTGGGGACGGGGACACACACACAATGGTTTCACTGAACACTGTCCTCTTTATGGGGAAAATAGGAGGATACTGTGCCAAGCACATCTTTGAGCAGACGGTGCCCTCCTGAAAAGCCTCTAAAGCACTGCTTTGCCTTTGTTTGTACAAATGAAACAATTCCTCTTTGCAGAGTATGGATCCTCGACCCTTGCTATAGTCTGAGCGTTCATCACAACACCCAGATGTTCATAAGGCTCTTTGCTCCCCCCTCCGTGACCGCTAGTATGAGAAGCCAAGATTTTCTGGGTAGCAGATTCTACACAAGTGGGATGTGCAGAACGTACAAACCTGGCTGTATCTTCCCACCGTGTAAATTCCTATACTTAGAGAGTGCACAAGGAGTGGTGTTTGTCTGTGTGTGCATGATGTACCTTGCGGACAGGGATGTAGTCCCCCTCGCTGGAGGTGATGTCCACCTCAATGCGCTCCATGAGCCCCTCCAGCTGTTCTCGCACATCCCGGGCTCGTCTCATAGAGCGGAACTGGATGAAGTTCTCGTAGCACCACTGCATGGAGTAACCACTCTCCACCCACTGCAAAAAAA